GAATCAAATAGATGTATCTACATGTGGAGGCATCCACTCCATAGGATCAGAGTTCACACGTACGAAAGGAAGATCAGGGATGGAGCAGAACGGCTCGGTTCTAAGTGACCAGACCATCTCGAAAGCTAATAACACTCCAGTTAGCACTAGAGCACAGGTTGAAATCACACACACCATTGAATGACATAATATGCTGTTGTTTGACTCTTATTATAAGAGTACCTAATTTGGTAATTGTGTGGCTCAGCCTGTGGCTTCGAGGGAAAGCTTTGCGGTAAATGGAGCGGGTGGTAACAAGTGCAAGGAGGTTGACACAAACTGTAGCCAAGCCTCGCAGGATAAGCGTTGCAGGAAAACCAGCATGGTCTCTTTATACTAAAAACCACATTACTCTCATATCTTTTGAATGTTGTTATATTCTGAAACTGATATATATTTGTTTTTTTTTTGGTTCTTGTTGTTGATCAAGGTGAGAGAGCCTATTCTGCAGTACTCGAAGCGCCAGAAATCTCAGGTTAATTGAAGATACATACATACCTCTCTATCAGACACGCCAAGTCCAACCACCTTCCTCAGTGGTTAATGGTTATGATAATATTATCCAGCTACTCCATAATCCGTATACTCTCCGTACACACTCGCTTTTACTACTCTTAACTTCCGCTTTTGCACTCAGTTTCCTTACTACAGACTATTTTCATGCTTAAAGTATTATATATCTTTGTGGCTTTTGGGATGAGAATTATTGCAAGAATGGTTGGAAAACTGAAACTAAACTCCCATCAGTAAATCCTTTTGTCAATGTCCATCATTTCACGATCCATTTTTCCTCTATATTATTTTTACGAAACATATATGAACTAGCACGACTGGTATTCCCTGCCAACGGTGAGCAATCTTAAACTGCTTAGTGAATCGCTTGTTAAGTAGTACCTATGTTGCATGGAAACGTGGATGAAGGTGCGTTTCGGAAACGCAAACGCGATGGAAACGCGTTTTCTAAATATTTTGATTTGGAAACGTTTTGGAAACGTGTTTCCAAAGTTGGAAACGGCCGGAAACGTGTTTTCGAAATTGGAAACGCGAATTTTGGTTTTTGAAGCAAATTTAATAAATATTTTGAAAATATAGGGATTTGTTTGTTATTTTTAATAAGTTTTAAAATCTAATTATTAAACACTAATACATTATTTTTCTCTAATCGTCACCGTAACCTAAAAACGTAGAAGAGTCGAAGAGKTWAYCAAMYTATTTTTTTCAATTACAGTAGATTTGTTATTGATTATTGAAATTGTGAAGTCGTATACAAAAACGAAGTGTTTTTTGTTCGAGTCGGATTAAATTTGTGTTGTTTCAAATATTTAAAACTATTGCTAATTTTTGTTTCATG